GCATCATCGGACCATTCTTCTTCGAAAATGCGGCTGCTCAGGCAATAACAGTTAATGGTGCTCGCTATCGCAACATGATAATCCATTTACCTGATATACTATTCCATACATAACCCTATACTGTATACTTTATGAATCAATAAAAAATTTACAATTTTTAATTATAAACCTGTGTTTTTTATCAAAATTACTTCTTGCGTGAATTTTGGGACACCCTTTATATTTGCCATGACTGGGTTTGGTGTTGCTGGGTGAGAGGGATGACTTGCAAACTGATGTGTAATCATTTCCTAGTACAGGATGCAACCTGGCATAGCTGTTATCATCCACTATTTTAAGGCCACCTGTCCACTCTTCACTATATAAACCATTCCAAATGCTAAGATTTATAGAATATAAAAATGGGAGTCACTGTGAGGATTGTATCAATGGAGAAATGAAACCAAACTGACAGCTAGCTTAAAGCCATCATCTGTCACATGTAAACCGAGCCAGGAATTTTATCTTTTACAGTGAAATTGCCTTAGGGCCAATTCATTGTGCAGTGAAAATGCTTGCAGAGAAAATGCTTGAGGCAAAGATGTTTACAGCAAAAATGTTTATGGTGAATATACCTAGTACCGGTTCTCAGAAGGCTTGGGAATGACACCTCACATACTTCCAATGCTTGCTGGTGTCAGGCTCTCCTTCATTCTCCTAGCAGCCCTGGGAGGAATGTATTCTCACTCTCCCCATTTTACTTGTCGGCAACTTGCCCAAGGCATACATCTATGAAGTGGAGGAAGTGAGGCTTCAAACCCATGTGGTATGGGTTCGGAGCTTGGTTCTTCACCCCTGCCTCCATGGCTTCTGATGACGTCATCTACTCACAGGACAGTTCCAAACTGAAATTGGCCACAGCCATCTTTAGAAATAGCCCCAAGGTACCAGACAATCATGACCTTCTTTATTTCCCCCTCCACTGAGTGCCATGTAGATCTAGCTCAACATTTCTTAGGAGAGATGTATCAGTTAGGGTTTCTTTTTGGAAAGCCACCAAGACAACTGTGGCTAAGATCATATGAAAGAGGAGTTTGTTAGAGGGATGTTGAGAGGATGGGGAGTGAGAGGAGAGCTGGAGAATCTGGCTAAAAAATAGGATAGGAAGTCTCACCGACGTGCCTGGTATGGGTGGATATGCTTCAGAAATGCCTCAAAACTCAGGGCACTGCTTGCTGCTGGAACAAGGGACTCTATTTTGTATGAGTCTTGAGACAATGAGTCTGATTGTCCAAGCTCAGGGCTGTACAGAATGGGGAGAGAAAGGTTTTAACGAAAGGAGACTTTGGGTCCTTCTACCTGGAGATAGAAAGTGTGGGCCTTGCTGGTGTGGCTCAGTGGTTGAGCATCGACCTATGAATCAGGAGGTCATGGTTCGATTCGGATCAGGGCACGTGCCCAGGTTGGGGGCTTGACCCCCAGTAGGGGGCATGCAGGAGGCAGCCTATCAATGACGCTTTCATCATTGATATTTCTCTCTCCCTTCCTCTCTGAAATTTAAAAAAAAATATTTAAAGTGTGGGACTTCAGTAGTGGGAGGAAGGACCTCATGTTTACTATTGAATGGAATGGGCAAGAGGTGAGTATGAGTGGGGAGAAAGAGGGAGCGAGAAGGAAAAGGATTGGAAGACAATTAGAACAAGTAGGTGGTAAGGTAGGGTTCAAACTTGGGTAATGGAAGAGAGACTGGGGAGAAGAAAGGGTTTAAGAGGATGACTTACCAGCAGTTTCCTTTTTCTTTGTCCCCCCCTCCCCCTTATTCACCAGGTTCTGAGCCATCACGTCCTGCCTGAGTATATTTGGGTAGGTCTGAGAATTAAAGATTGTCTATTTCCAAGTCTATCTTCTGGCCTGAAGACCCTCTCTTCAGAATGCTGACCTCTCCCCTCAAGTCCTAAATCTCATCTTAGTATCATTTTGTTCCCAGTGTTTTTAATCCAAAGTTATTTTTCTTCTAATAGAGAGAAGCAAGTAGGGCCCATCTTTTTAATGTAATTTCAGAAGTGGACCATTCCCCTTGATTACAAGCAAAACCAAACCTAATATTACTTTGGACTTATGTTACTGTTAATATTATTTACTTTCCAAAAACAGACTAACCCCCAATTAGCATTGTGAATTGTCTGCCCTGTAATGACCAGAGAGCCCATTCTATTACATTACTGAAATCATTTGCATAGTAATTATGGTTTAGCTCTATTGGTAATTGGAATGGCTTCCCTCTGGTAATGTACAATGGGCTCTCATTCATCACATGGAACCTGGCCAGACGGCAGAATTGAGGAAGTGCACTCCTACTAAACCCATGGTCATTTTAGGTTCCAAACCGGCATCTCACTTTGCTCCATCCTCATCCCTCTAATGTTTCTTAGTTTCTAAACCACTTGTGCAACAGAAAAACAATCTAAACTGCAACTGTGATTGGTCTAGGGAAATTGTATTTAAAAATTCAGCAGTGTGAATTACCCATCTTGTCCCCCTCCCCTCTTCTCCAACATGATAAATGATGTCTGAAAGGAAATGTCACAAGCTATCAGGCAATTCACCCCTCTCTCTCTCTCTCTCTCTCTCTCTCTCTCTCTCTCTCTTATCTGCTTTAAGTAAACTAGATGTAGTGCAGGGAGTTTGCATAAGAAGAATAAGAAGACACAACAAAACTAGAGACTTAGCCTTTGCCTTACAAAAGGAGTCTTTTAAAAAAATGTCTTTGAATCCCAAGTGCTCCTGCTTCAATTAAAATATTATTTAAGCCGTAACCGGTTTGGCTCCGTGGATAGAGCGTCGGCCTGCGGACTGAAGGGTCCCAGGTTCGATTCCGGTCAAGGGCATGTGCCTTGGTTGCGGGCACATCCCCAGTGGGGGGTGTGCAGGAGGCAGCTGATCGATGTTTCTCTCTCATCGATGTTTCTGACTCTCTGTCCCTCTCCCTTCCTCTCTGTGAAAAATCAATAAAATGTATTTAAAAGAATAAAATATTATTTAATCTCTAAAGCTTTAATTTTCAAAGAAAGATTAATAAAACAATCTAAATTTATGTACACACACATGCGTGTGCACACATGCACATACACTCACATATACATACAACATCACCGAAACAGCACCTAAGGCAAAATGGAAAGAATGCAGGAGCCAGGCAGAGGTGGCCCATTCCTGACTATGATTGCATCTACGTCATTCTATCTACCTGAGCATTAGTTTCCACAGCTGTGAAATGGCAATAATAACAACTTATCAGTTTTAGTTGGGTTACAGGTTGGACAACTGTAGCAGAGACCGCCCCAAAACTGTGTCTTGGACAAGACATGAGGATATTATGCCCCTCATATACCAGCAAAGTCAGGGACCCAGGCTCCCTCCATCTTGTTGCTCTCCATCCCTGGGTATGGGGAGAACCTTTGTCCATGAGTCCCAGGAAAAGCCACCACCACATCCATATTCCAGCCGATAGGAAAGGGGAGATGAGGGTGCACCCCTAGCTTTTAACAGCTTCCTGGAAGCTGCATAGGTCACTTCTGTTCACATCTATTGGATGTGACATCTAGCTGCAAGGGAGGCTGGGCATCACATCTTTACTTTGGTTATCCATATGCTCATTTAAAACTAGAGAGATTTCTGCTACTAAGGGAGAAGGAGGATTAGATATTGGGGATGACTAGCAGACTGTCACTCTTGCCACATTGTGGTGAAAAGTTAGAGGAGGAGGAAGTGGTGGCATTAGATTCTTTTTTTAAAAATTCTACATCTGAGAGGAGGTAGTGTTTTCTTTCTTTTTTAAAAACAATATATTTTTATTGATTCAGAGAGGAAGAGAGAGGGAGAGAGAGATGGAAACATCAATGATGAGAAAGAATCACTTATCAGCTGCCTCCTGCATGTTCCCTACTGGAGATTGAGCCCACAACCTGGGCATGTGCTCTTGACCAGAATCGAACCCAGGACCCTTCAGTCCACAGTCCGACACTCTATCCACTGAGTCAAACCAGCTAGGACACTAGATTCTTTTGTATTTTGTTTTTAATTGGAAAATTAGACCATATCCCAGAAGCCTCCTTCAATCCCAGAAGACTTCTAATCACACACCAGAAACATTATCACATGGCTACAGCAAGCTGCGAGGGAAGTTAGGAAAGTGAGCACTTAGCCTTCCAAACATGGCAATGGAAAACATAAAAGGAGACAGGAGAGGAAAAGAAATACTGGATTGGCTAAACAAGAGTGTCTGCCAGCGTGTTCCAGAGAGGTTAAGTAACCTGTGCAGTGTCACACAGCTATTCAGACTCACATCTGCCGACTTCTAACTTTGGCAATAAA